CTTGGCTTTCACCCCACGTCTGCAGGTGAAAGCTAACCCAAGGGTCTCCCTCGTTTTTGGAACGAACTTTGCCCGCTTTGCATTTTGCCTCACGATGATTATACGTCCATATCTGGATCGGATCCAATCGCTGAATTGTGTCCACTCCTGAACTCACCTGCTGTGCTGTCATTGGCTGGAGGAAACACACCAGCTCCGCCCAGAGACGTCCTCCTGGGTCAAACTAAACACCACAATCCAGTCAGAGGACGGGGTCTCTACTACACATGTATGGAGGCCCAGAAGGGACGATGGAGCAGCTTTACTTTTGTTGAAGTCTGTATTTTATTATTTAGGAAAAACCTCCTGACTCTGCCTCTTAATGAGGAGAACTTCATAAATTCGTTTTTTTAATGGCTGCCAAAACAGTTTCTTTCTCCCCTTGATCATTCGCAGTGACTTTGAGCCCAACTTTCTTTTTCTTCTTTGAACATTAAATAGCCTTTCGCCTCCCACGACATTTAACAGCCCAGTGTCCACACCGAAGTCAGAGTTGGTGAGAGTGAACTGAAGCTGTCAGAGTACACAGATCACACCCTGAACAATAACACGGGCGTCAGTCAGAGCCGGCCTGAGCTCTGAGGACACACTCCCAAAGAGACGTGTCCTCATGGTTCTCTGGAAAGGGAGAGGTGTGTGTGTGTGTGTGTGTGTGTGTGTGTGTGTGTGTGTGAATAAATCTAAAGTGAAAATCTGTCCTCCTATTTTTGTCCACGCCATGTTTGCGGCACGACCATGCCTGAGTTTTTTGCATTGTCCTCACAGTGGAGGGCATTCTAACACACTATTACACACACACACACACACACACACACACACACACACACACACACACACACACACACACACACACACACACACACACACACACACAGAACCGCACATTAACCCATGTTCTGTCTTGTCCTTCTCCATCCAGCTTGAGGCTCCTCTGCGCTGCTCACACAGTCTGATCGAATTATCCTCGCATGGCGCCGTTGTATATATCGAATTAGCCCGTCATTGCTTCCCTGGACACCGCCGCTGAATGTTCCTCCCTGGGCATGTTCTCTAACAAGCCGCGCGGGCTGACTCATTCATGCCTGTGAGCTGTCGCCATCTTTGTAGTTATACACAGCCGGGGTCGGCAAATGAGGGAAGAATTTAGTGTTAGCTTCCTCTCTGCGACTGAAGATCTCAGATCGTTGACGAGGTGTCAGACGTCAGCGTGTTGGTTTCTTTTGACGACTCCTCTGGTCCTTGTTTTCTCTCCTTAAATCAGTCCATGTGTCAGGATTGATTCTGTCTGCTGCTGTTAACACATCTTTAAAATCGTGTTGCTTGATGGAAAGGCGATTTGACACATCCTGAAACATGTTTGAGTGAGCTGAGTGTAACTTGGCAACTGGCTGCATGGTGTCGAGACGTTGGAACTTTCTCATCCCCAACTCTGTTTGCTGTCACACCTAGGGCGTAGTGTGGAGATGGGGATGTGACCCCACCAATATGTATCTCTCTCTCTCTCTTCTCTCTCTGGGGCGTGGTCAGACACAGCTCATTTACATATTTAAAGGTACAGACACGGAAACAGCCTGTTCTGAGCAGGGCTGAAATAGAGGGGTTTATAGACATGATCAAATACAGGATCAGAGTGGATTTAGAACAAGAAACTTCACACACATGTTTTGAGGAGCTCAGAGAATTTAAACTGGATGAAGAGGAGGAGGATATGTCACCTTTAATGGGGGCTTCAGCACCGTCAGCACCCCTACTTCCTGCTTATTTGGTACATTCTTCGAGACACTTTCCAGACACTTGGATATAGATCTTGTGAAATCTGTTGATCAGACGCCTTTGTTCTCTGAATGTTCACTGCACGCATCAGAAGCTCTGCAGCCTGACCTTCTACCTCCTGTGTTTATGATCTTACAAACTTATAACATCTTGTGTGACGTGATTATGGAATTATTATTATGGATTATTGACCTGTTGTAGCTACAGAAGTCATTTTTGCAGGTTTCGCAGAGGAAGTCATGAAGGATTATCGTTATTAACCAGTAGTGTAAAAGTCTATATTATAAAGTGACATGTCGCCTTGGCTCGCCTTGAAATTACAGCATACTGTTCACCCTAAATTCACAAAAACTCTTGTCCAATCAGTGTGCAGATTACAGTAAGTAAAAGTCTGTCTTCAGTCACCTTTTCCTTTCTTATCAGGTTTACACAGTTTTTCAGCAGAGCAGGATGAGATGAGTCATGTTGAGGTCGGACAAACCATAAAATTACCAGAGAATTACGGACGTAATTAGCCCGCTCTCTGGGAGCCCAAATTCCTCAACTATGACAAGAAAAGTCATTATGGATTTCCTCTGAATCCGACTGTTTTCCCACAGTTTCTGAGACTGTCATCGTCGCACAGTTTAGGGTAAGATGTGTTTATGTAGGTTATAGTTAAAGCTTTTAATCACTGCCTCACAGAGTCTGACGCCTCATCTGACACCTTATCAGAGCATAAAGGGTCACCAGAAATATTAACCTGGAAATGAAATCATACCATATCAAAATTTGGATACCATAGCGAGAAAAGAAGAAGTCCTATGTTCCCAATATTGGGTCATATTTTGGGAGTGTATTTGTACAATTGCTGTAAGTCCATTGTTAGAGCTGTTTTCAGACATGCATTCCTGGAAATTCCTAGAAAATCTCAGGACACGCTGCCTCAGAAGTCTTCCTGGCTTGCCTGTTCACACACGTTTTTTTAAAACAGTAAGGTCTGTGTTGGACAGGAGGTGGGGGACGGGGTGGGGGACTGCAAGACTGAGGACGAAGCAACAGAGTCTGACGCTGTGACAGTTTATTTCCTTTATGTAATTGGACTTCTTCAAAATTTTAATGAAGGAGCGATAAAGATCTCATGAGCAGAGGTGAGTCTGAAGCTGCTTCATTATGTGCACAAAGATCACAGGTCACATGATATATAAGGTCATTGTCCTCACCTGTTACCTAGAGTTGAATCTTCCTGATTATCTCCTGCTGCACTCACACATCAGCTCTCAGGCGCTGGCAGGAAACAGTCTGGGTGAAAAAGGAACTCATTGTGTTCCCACGTGCAGCTCACCTTAAAAAGGTTTTGTGCATGTGCAAAAACCACAGACTGTAAATATTAACGGACGAAAGTTGAGTGACATCACCCGTCTGTTCCTGCAGGGGGCGCTGGAGTCCCATCGATGGCGGTCTCCATGCTGGAAATGCTGTCTCAGTCTAACTTTCAGTCGACCTAACGACAGGCTGAGAGCTGAGGCGGGTTTTAAACCTCAAACATGAGCTAAACAGACCCTAATTTGTTTTTTTTGTACCAGGCTGTAAATATGTTAATTTCTACGGCTTTTTTGAATTGGTGTGTATGTGACTTCCTGTGCTGATGGAGCCAGCCTCTAGTGGAGACTCGATGAACTGCAGGACATTGCACTTCTTAATTGGCTTCATTAGCCGCTTGGTGAAAAAGTCTGTTTTTAAAAACATTTTTAATTTGTATCATTCAGGGATAAATTCAGAGATTAGCATTTCAGCGCTAACTTCACCCTGAGCTGCTTACACTGCGATGTTATCATGTTTGTAGAAGAGGCTGTTTCCTTTATAGTTTCTGTAGGGGCAGGGGGAATCACCAGGGTGGGGTGGGGGGGAATAGTAGATGTCAATCCCAAAGGAAACAAGAGGTCGAGCGGGAAGCAGAAAAAGCGCCCAGTCTTACCCTCTGGCTTTGATCCAATACTTAGAAAACGCATCCTCCTCCATGTTTCCACCCTCCAGATCATATCACAAACCCAAGAGAAAAACAAAAAGCTGTCACACATTCACATCCAGCCAGATCAGGTGAGCATCTTTAAGACATAATGTAGATCGAACACTGATCCACAGTGAGGGGGGGATGTATTCTTGACTTGCAGAGTCTCTGTCCCTCTTTTCTCTGCACTGACAGCAGCAAAAATCTCAGAGGAAACAGGAAAGGCCTGAGCAGCTTGGTGTCGGGACGGATATCCTCTTTTGGGAGGCGTTCCCCCTCCTCCTCCCTCACTTAACTCTCCCTCTCTTTTAGCCCTTTTTTATCGCCCTTTTCTCCCACTTTGACTCATTTTCCTCTCCGTGTGGCCGAGGGCTCGAGAGCCTGACAAAGACTTTCAAACCTCCTCGTGGATTTTAAAATATTTTGGTCTTCAAAAACCTGAGCGAGAACGATGTGTTGGCATGGCGACGAGGAGGATGAGGATAGCTCGGAGGTGAAGCGTTTGTCGCCTTTGTTTGTTTGATTTGTGTGTTTCCTGTAATAGCGGCTGTGATTTGTAGTTATTTGCGCTCCTCCTCCTCTCCCGCTGTGCTGCTGATTGTGTGTATTTGGTTGCTTGTTGACTCCGGAGCAATTTGCCGCTCAGCTGGAAGTACAATTTGAAAAAAGACACAGAAAGTGAGCGGGAGAGGGAGCCCCGTTGTTTACACTCAAACAATGTTTGGGACAGTAAAGGAGGATACACTGAAATCAGAGACTGGAGAGGACAAATCATGGGACGCATTCTTAATCAATTTGGTGTTTGTGTTTGGAAGAAAACATCATTTCTGATCATATTCTCAAACTAAAGCCTTCCTGTTGGCAGGTTGGACACTGGAGATGTTTTGAAATATTGAAAACACTCCTTGAATAATATTTTTGTCATTCCTCGCTGCTCCCCTTTCTCGCTTTCTTTTTCTAACATTTACCCAACTGTCCCCCCCCTTTCCTCCGGCCCCACACACTATCGTCTCCTCTTTATCTCTTTCCTCCCATTACAGCCTTATCCTGCTCACCATCTCTTCCTCCTCTGCGGACATCACTCTCAACACCTCCTCTGAGCAGGGCTGACTGCAGCACATTAAGATTTCTGCTCTCTCCATAAAGCCATCTCGCCTGACTTCTTTCTCACCTCTTCTTTCTTTTTTTTGTCCTCCAGAGTGATCCAGGAGGGCTGTCGGTTCTGGAGCAGCTCGGCCTGGACCAGAACTCTGATTTCTCCGACTCCAGCGTGCAGCAGCTGTTGGACGAGCAGCGCGAGAGGATCCGCAGAGAGATCCGGAAAGAGCTGAAGATCAAGGAAGGAGCCGAGAACCTGCGCAGGGCGACGACTGACAAGAGGAACGCTCAGCAGGTCAGAGGCGGACGATGTTTTCATTCCTTCTCACAGACCTGTTGTCAGTCTTAACGTTTTACAAGCCTTAACTTGTCAAACTAAAGATCTTATTCTATGTGGAGTAAATGTTTCCAGTGAATTTTTTGCAGTTTAGAACTAGTATCATATCATATCCATCCATTAGCTAAACCGCTTTTTACCATTCGGGGTCTTAGGGGGCTGGTAAGAGGCGGGGGTTACGCCCTGGACTGGTTTTGTTACAACCAAATTATGCACTACTTGCACAGCTTGAATCTCTGGAAGAAAAGTCTGTGGATATGTTGCATTATGGGTAATGTAGGCAGCAGACTCATGAGGAAGAAAAATGTTCAGAATAAAAAAGTCAGGTTTTTTAAACTGTCTGTCGTTAAGTAGGGTTGTCAAAAAACTTTGGTACGATTATTGTTTTGAAAAGAAAAATCAAATGATATCTACCGGTACATTTTATGTGTTTGTACACAGCAATTTCGTCGTTCTGGTGGCAGAAAGTTAGCAGTTAGTATGTTGAGTTGATGTTTAATATCTACATCCAGGTTAAAATGTTGAGCTCTGACTTGTGTCATCAACTCCAGCTTTTTATTGACAAGCTGTTGAGTGTTGTGCTGTAAGTCGGCAGCTCGTCATCACAAAGCACCACACTTCAGTTTGTCCACCTTCAAAATAAAAGCACTAGATGTCATATTGTTTGCAAAGGAAACTGAAATTCATAGAGCAAAGAATTCAATATTTAACTGATGCAGTGTGGTGATGCGACACGATATCCAACGCTAAAAGTGCTGTTTGCCCGTCCACGGCCAGCTTTTCTTTTCTGTACAGCATCGATATGTAGGAAACACTGAAGTAAACAAGGGTCATCAAGAGCATCACCAGTTAATTCAAACACCAGTTAAACTGTGACACTGAGCAACTTCTTGCTCCTTGTGGAGAAACTCTAACCCGTTCCTATTCTGACATCCAACGGCACATCTTAAACCAAAGATCTGGTCTGCCTCTCCATGTTTATCTCCTCCTGCTATCACTGTTTCTCTGCCGCCACAACATGCACACAACTGCTGTGACTCTAAATGAGTCTACTCACAGCTGTTGTGCTACCACGGCAACAAAAATAGTGCATTAAGTCAGCATCAATATGCAAAACTTTAAGAAAGGAAGTGATGTCATCCACCACCTCCGTCCGAATGAGCACCCTCTTCCTGATCCTTTAAAACGTCCCAATAAACTGATTTAATATGTAAATGACTCAGAAAGAAAATAAAAACAGTTTCTCTAACTGTCTTCTTTGTTCCGTCCTTCAGGTGGACAGTCAGTTGCGATCTTCAAACCGCAGGCTGGACGACCTTCACGCTCAGCTGCAGGAGCTGGACGCTCACATCGTGGTGAAGGGAGGAGAGGAGAACAAAGGTATGTGTGTGAACAAACACACACACACACACACACACACACACACACACACACACACCTTACTTAGGATCCTTTGTATCAGATATATTGAGGATTAATATAAGTCTGCTCTCAGCTGATTGCTCCTGCACTCACACTCACACACTGAGGGGCGGGGCTAACACACAGATGGACAGACGGGTATCTTTCTCATCAACAATATTCCCTGGTTTTCTGTAAATTCATGATTATGACCTCATGAATAAGTCTCCCTCCTCCACTCTCATGTTAGCTGGTTATGATATTATAGAGCTGGTGCATATTTTTTTGGAAAACCCTGCGACAGAGTGAGGAGTTCTGCTTCCTGATGATTTGTCTTTCCTTGTTCCATCTGGGTGTGTCTCCATGAAGAGCAGCCAAAGAGTTTCATGTCTGTTTCCAGCTGGTTCAAAGCTGTAATGTCTTCTGTGCAGGATATTAACCCCTTACATGCTGCTGCTGAACTTCAAGGATAAAACAATATTTTTCTGACATTACACTCGATCTCCCCCCTGAGAGTATTTTCACTTCAGTGCACACCGTGTGAACCCTCATCTCGTTCCTTTTTTTTATAACATTTCTGTTTCCGTCCCTCCTCAGATGAGTGTCCTCAGTCTCCGGGGGCCGCGAGTCGGACGTCAGCGCACAAGGATCGCATCGCCGCCCTGGAGAGGCAGCTCAACATCGAGCTCAAAGTCAAACAAGGGGTGGAAAATATGATCCCCATCTACTCCAATGGATCCACCAAGGTACAGGACTCCATAGAAAACGCCTTCATACACCTGAACCTGAACAGAACACTAAACGAGCAGAAGTATAAGGAGCATGTTGTAGGGGGCTGCACGCATTCTGCCCCTCCCCCTGCTGCTTCATAACTGACAGCGTGAGCGTCTGTGTGTGCATCTTCCTGATCCGTAACCTTGCTCTCTGCTGACTCAGCTGATAATCTCTCACACTGAAAGCCTCCCCATATGCACACACCACTCATCCTGAGATTACTCACAAAAATCCCCTCCCCCCCTTTTTTTAAACGAGCGTCTGTTTCACCTTACCATTCGACCTTGTTCTCACACCTCCACCTCCCGTTCTATTTCACTGCACAAAGAACATACACTTCACATTAAACACTCGTATGAATCAAAACAAATCAACACAAAAGGTCGACTCAAATCGATGAGAAAGAGAGCACGTCTGCATTCGGCTTCTCTTGTTCGACGTCAGTGGCTGAAGAGGAGAAGGGAACAGACACGGCTAGCTTCGTAGCTAACTCTGGCCCAACAGTTGTGATGACTCCTCTCGGTGGTGCTCATGACATGTAGCTCAGTCTGTAGTGATTTGGGTTGGGAACCAGACCAGTCGCCGGTCCAAGTCCCAGTGGACCAAAATATGGAAGGTTGGACTGGAAGCTGGAGAAGTGTCAGGGACTTCTCGAGTACTGTCCTTAAAGGAAGAATGTGCCACAATTTAAACATAGATACACTAGAAATCCAGTCTCTCCTGTGAGTCCTGACTGTCTACAATGAGGGAGAAGCTCGAGTCCCGCTGGACTGTGTTGTTGTCAGAGCCGTGTTTACATGGACGGGACGGCCGGCTCCTCCCCTTGTGTATAAAAGCTGTTTTAGTCAAGAACTAGAGAGAAGAAGAAGAACATACTCACTGATTATTTGGATGTTAGTAAGAGTTTTTAGATCACGCTCATTCTGTGTCAGTTTACGAGCTAACTAAAGAGCGCTAACATTAGCATGCTAACACAACAATGCAGGACACAGGTGATTGCAGCTCGAGAAAAAAACTGTTCTGTCTTCCGCTTGCGTTTAATGATTCTTAAGTAGGGTGCGTTCTAATTCATAACTCCTTAGTTTGAACTCGAGTGTAGAGGGGTTGGAGGTTTGTCTCTGGAGGAGAGTGGAGGCTTCAGGATGGAGGAGGCGTGGCCTAACAGCAGTTTGTTTTGGTTTCATGCTGGTGCTCAAGGGCGACATCTACTGGATCAAAAAGTCGCACATTCTTCCTTAAAACAAGGCACGCTCCCTGTGTAGCAGCCCCACTCTCACATCCCTCCATTAATGCATGTCCACAGGTCCTACAATTAAATAAAAATGACTGAGGGTAATGCTAAAGGGAGTTAACCGACCAAAAAATAAATTGACAGCAGGAGGTTGTCGAACTGTGGAGAAACAAAGTTCAAGCAAAAAGCATGATGAGAAAATGAACCCAACTTCTTGTGAATAAACCCGATTAATCCTGCACTTTACCCAAAGACCACACATCATGTTACCCTGCGTTTCCCTCCCTGACTCATTTCAATGCTGATATTTTCCTTCCTGGTTCTTGTATTTGATTTTGCTCCCCGTCGTGCCTTTGCTCCAATCAGGACAAGAAGATGCTGCAGACGGCCCAGCAGATGCTGCAGGACAGTAAGACCAAAATTGACATCATCCGCATGCAGATCAGGAAGGCTGTGCAGGCCACGGAGCACAACGACGACACACAGGGTGAGTGTGAGCGTAACGCCGTCCTAGTGAAGCAAACACACTTCTTCTCTTGTCTGTCAAGATGTGAGTGAAATAAAAAAAAAATGGTTTTTGGCTCTTAAATCATTAAGAGTAATCCGTCCTCATTGCATTTATATCTCACTCACTCTTTTGTGCCGTTACCATCAGCTGCAACTTCATCCAGTCTCTGGAACACACACACAAAACACACACATGAACCAATGAGGGATTTGAACTCAGTTATTTAGCCATGAGCGACGACGACTGAAGAAGCAGCGACAACACTGAAATATGGTTTGAGCTCGAGGACTTGTCTCCTCCAGAGTCTCCTGTAGACCGAGACCATGGCGGTCGAGAGACGGATAAGTTTGAACCTTTAGCACGGGCAGCGAGGACGTGGAGGAGCAGGAGAGGGTGGGGGGGGACGCAGGGAGGGGAGGTAGAAAGGAAAGAAGATACTAACTCTGTAAATATTTTTACTGAATATAAAACAGACATGAAGTCTACATATGACCAGACTGCTAAACCCGACAAAGCGAGGTCCTCTGGTACGTTCAGACGCAGCTTGTGTTTTATGACAGTGGTCAGCTGGCAGTGACAGGACGCCCTCTTTCATCTCTCTCTCTCTCTGTATTTGATGTGCAGTCTCTTTCTTTTTTGTCTCTGTGCGTCATAAACGGTCTGAGGCAGCAGACGGCAGACTCACAGCAGCAGCACAAACAGATCAATACTCGTGTGTTTTCACATCCCCGCCGCCTGCGTTTTTATGAGGGAGAAGATGAAGAGGACGCTCAGGATTGATTCACTGCAGACTGTGTGAGCTGTGTTTTATTTCTGAGTGGTACAAAGCCCACCTGGCAAATTATCACGATCAATGAAACTCACACAGAAATGAACTCAAAGGTAATCCAGCCCACCGACACAAAAAGGACCATATCATGTTTACACACACACACACACACACACACAACCACTCACAGTATTGTTCTGTGTGAAGAGGCAGAACAAAGACTTTGTCTCACAGGTGGTGAGTGCATGTTTTTGAGTGTACAGGAGTGTGTTAGAAATGATACAAACATGATGCTCTTACACGTTCTCCTTCTCATACACACCTCATCTGTAGTAACAGGTTGATCAGTGACACTCAGGGCTGTTGAATACATTTTTATTGGGCTGTGAGAGCTGAGAAACATGACGAGGTGATGATCAGGAGAGGTGGATGGTTTGGAAAAAATGCAACAGGGGGAGATAGTTGAAGTAGGGAAGAAGCCAAAGACAGATTAGATGATGATGTCGTCGTCCGTCCGTTATTTTGACGATCCTGTGACGTTTCACCTTCTTTCTGAAAGTTGCAGAGGGATAAAATGATCCCCCCCCCCCCCCCCCCCCTCTGTACCGTCGTTGAAGATTGTAACAGAGGTGAGACGGTTTCAGCGGGGGGAGCGCAGAGCTGTGTCTGAAAGATGTGTCTGTGGAGTAGTTCTTTTGTCCTGGTGTCTCATGAAGTCTGTGTTTTTTTCTTGGTTAATCTGTCTCTCTCTCTCACACACACACACACACACACACACACACACACACACACAGGAGGTTGTGTATATAGTGTACACAGACAGTCTCCAGGCACCACACCCGGTGGAGGGGTCATCTAGCAGGGTCTGGGCTCCAGGCAGAACACCTTATTAGGAGATAAAAGCACCCACATCCATTCCCAACCCGACCTCCCTCTCCTCCTCCTCCTCCTCCTCCTCCTCCTCCTTTCTTCCTCCTCCTGTCTCATGCCGCTTTTCCAGCAGCTCATAACTCATCGAAATCATATTCAATCACTCCCCTGCGTCCTTTTGTCCTTTCCTCCTCGTCCTAACTAACACAACACATTTTTTTTTTATCCTCCTCTTTATTTCTGGCCTCCTCTCCCCATGTCTGTGAGCTCCTTTTGTTTCCAGCTGTTAGACCAGCTACTGGGCCATTAAGGCTAACCACTTAGCTGTGATTGTGCTGCATTGGGGTGGTGGGGGGCGACTCTGAGGCTAACCCACCTCGTCTGTTTGTGTAGGTGAGGGAGCTCGAGTGCGTTTTAGCCGTTTGACTGATAGCACTGCTCCTCATTTGCTGCTTTAATCGAGTTACTGCTGCCTCGGCTTAATGGGTGTATTAAACGCCTGTGAGGGTTTTATCAGTGGCACTGGTTTATTTTGAAGTGGTTGTTATGATAACACCAGAGAGCAGCTGGAGTAAGGAAGTTCATTCATTAACTTCTCGGTCTGAATATAAGAATGAGACGACCCCGATCATGAGAAAGTTTGTCCCAACGTTCTGGACTTTGATACTTTTTGATACCAAGTTAAAATCTAATTTATTTTAATTACGAAATCTCCCAGACGTTGGCATGTGAAGGACCCCCATTAGACTTTCAAAGACCTTCTACAGTACCGGTCTGTGACGAGCTGTAGCAGATGAGCAGCTCATCCCTGTGTTACGGTCTAAGTGAGTGACACGTCCGCTGCTCACAAGATGATGATTTTTCAGTGATATTTATGGTCTTGGTCTTGACTTGGTCTCGATCCCTAAATGTCTTGGTCCTCTGGTCTCAGTTAGTGTGGTCTTGACTACAAAACTAGTCATATTTACACTAAAGACTCTCTGAATGAATGCTGGCTCTTCCTGACAAGTCTGATGTTACTTTTCAGCTGAATGGTGTTCAGTCTGGTCACCTCGGGTCTTTTTCTTTTGGACATTTTTCCTTTCAAGAGGAGGTCTCTAGTTATCGGTGGTACTGCCACTTTCCAATATATCAGTGTCACTCATAGTGGCTGCTCGATTCTGATTGGCCAGAGTGCATTGACATCATTTTTAACTGAAATATGTGCACAGAAGAAGAGCACAGATCTCACAATGCAGCGATTGAGAACATCTAAAGCAGTGAGTCCTAACTGGTCTAGCCACAGGAACCCGGACCCACCAGTTGTGAAACACTGATCTTAAATTCATAAGACACAAATAATCTTCTAGATTGGTTTTAATTTTTGTCCCATATTTCCCCCTCTTACTTGCAAGTTTCTGTGACCCCCCTGGGGATCAGGACCCCGTCTTTA